AAAAAAAAGAAAACCCTGGTTTCCAACTTCAGCACAATTATTTATTTTCTTAATCCTACAATACACAGAAAATAGTTTCAGAATTGCTACACACTTGCCACTACTAAATCTATTAAAAAGAGTTCAGTATTTGTTTTCCCAGTGTCAACAACCTAAAATGCACAGAGAAACACAAAAAATTAGTGTAACAATATATTTACTCTGAGTAGATATTATTCCAATTGGGCAGTGTCAACCCGAAGGGAAATTGGGTTGTACAGGTCATTGTTGAAGCCCTGGTGGCAAAGTGGTTAAAGAATTTGGCTGTTAACCAAAAAGTCAGCAGTTCAAATCCACCAGCCGCTCCTTGGAAACCCTATGGGGCAGTTCTACTCTGTCCTGTAGGGTCACTATGAGTTGAAATCAACTCAGTGGCAATGGGTTTGGTTTTTGGTTTTAAGTCATTGTTCTGTTAATTTATCAGAGATAACATCAAAGCACAGTTCAGGGTTTCAGGGTCAGTCAGTTACAGAAACAGAGTTACCAAGGACACACCATACGTCCTGAAATGGTCTCTCATCAGACCCTGGAGTTCCTGTTTCTCAAAACTGGCTGCACATAATTTTCCAAAAGAACCCAATGCTTAAGGCAACACATTCTCTGCTAAACTGCTTAAGCTATCATTTGACTTGAAGGCGACTTTAGGCAACCCGTTCCTTTAAGGCTCAAGGTTCAAAAGAATGCCTAAGGGCGAATGGTCTGGATGGGTCATCCCAATTCCAAGAACACAGAAATCTAGATTCGAGCAGAATTAAAATGGCTTTGTCACCAAGTAGCTCCACAAACACTCCATCAGGAGTACTGAATATTGTAGCCTTTAATTTGCGGAGAGGTGTACCCTAATCCGTGTGTAGGAGAATCAGGAGAAAGTAAGAAGTCACATTTCCTCAGTCAGAGGACCTATCTGTATAGGAACCATGGAGAAAAAGGAACAAGTAGAGGGCTGACCTGAAATACCAACAACCTATAGGGTCACTATGAGTCGGAATCGACTCGACGGCAATGGGCTTTTTTTGTTTGTTTTATACTGAGCTATCTCCAGATGGTGAGTGAGAAATTTCAGAGGGAACTGGAGAACAAGCCCTGGTATCTAGCATAAAGGGAAGGAGAGATTAGCCTGAGGAAAAAATTATTTACCAGTTCCTACCTCCAGAGAGTCCTTCGATCTTTCGAATCTGAGTCAAAGGTTTTGCCTTTCTAGGCTCTCTTGATTCTCTTCTCCCTGCAATCTCTGCATCTTCCAGAGTCTCCTACTACAATACGTCTTCCAATATCCTGGCTTTTTTTTTTTTTTTTTTTAAATCATGACTCACAGTTTTCCCTTTTATAGTTTGGCCAGAGTAGGGATTGTTACCTTTAGTAAGAAATTTTGAGCAGCTAATACCAAACCCGTTGCCGTCAAGTCGATTCCGACCCACAGCGACCCTACAGGACGGAGCAGAACTACCCCAGAGAGTTTCCAAGCAGCGGCTGGTGAATTCGAACTGCCGACATTTTGGTTAGCAGCTGAGCTCTTAACCACTGCACCACCAGGGCTCCATGTACAGCAGTTTTTAATTTCTTCCTTTCTTTTTTGTCTCCAGAGCACTTGGCCCCTGGCTGGCCGGCGGTCAGAGTTGAGGGACTGAATGACTGACTGACGCCGGGGGTAGGAGGGGAACCGAGCTTTCGCCCAAAAGTGTACCGACCCAGTCCCGCCTTTTCCTCCGCTGGGGACCGCCCAGTTGTTACCCTGACAACGCAAATCCGAGCTCAGTCGCAGAACGGGCCCTTCCCGAGGTCGTTATCTGCGCCTGCGCGGGAACCATTCTAGGCGGGCCTTTCAAATTTCGCTCTGTCAGGGATGCGTTCACCATCTCCGGCTTCCGGCGGAGGCCTGGGTCTCCACGTCTTGCCACTCAGTAGTGAGTAGACGCTTTGGTCCGGGACCCGCGCGAGTCTGGGGTTTGGTATTGGGGATCCTGAACCCGGAAGGCATTCCTTGGCTGGGGCGGAGGGGCAGGGGTTGACATTTCTCCGGCTTGGTTAAGCTGTTGTGGATTCTTTAGCGGGTCCCTGCCGCACTGTCCTTGGAGTTAATAGTAACAATTCTTTCCCCTCCCTTCATCTCCTTTGCGACCCCAAATTGTAAAGCCTCAGTGCCCACAGCATAGGAGAGGCGCTTACTGGGGCTCGTTTCTTTGAACTTTCTGGGTTTTTTTCCTTTAATTTTTTTTTTTTTTTTTAATACCTGTGTTGTCTATGCATGAATAGTGCATTTGTCCCACTAAATCCTTAAGGAAATGACCCAGATTTATCTCCTGTACTCTGGTTTGGGATCCATTGCCAACAGAAGACTAAGACAAGTCAGTACTGTACTTTGGTTAGAAACTAAATTTTGTAGAATTGAAAGAAATTGCTTTTGAGTTTTTATAATTTCAAGGAAATGAGATTTACCCAGTATTTATCATTTTGGGATTTTGAAAGTGAACATAAATTTGACTGGCTTTTTTTTTCTATAAATGTGTTTGTATTTTTTTTTTTTTCTTAAGTAGCTTAAAGAATGGCCTCCTCAGATCTGGAAAAATTATGCTCTCACATTAATGAAAAGATTGGCAATATTAAAAACACTATGTCATTAAGAAACTGCGGTGAGTAAAACAGATTCCACTGACTTTGTACATACAAAATGCATTTTGATTGTTGTTCCACTTTGAATGATATCTTAGTGCCTGGTTAAATGACTGTATCTTAAAAAGGTAATTTTTACTTTTGACTAGTCATTTTTAAAACACTCCAAGCATCAATATTTTGAATATTACGAAGGATGCTAAAAATGGAAGTTATATTGAACAATGAACTGAAAGCACACTTAGATTACCACACACTGGACAACTGTCATTTTGTACATAAAAAAAAACCATTGCTGTCAGCCAGTCATAGTGACCTATATAGGACAGAGTAGAACTGTCCCATGGGGTTTCCAAGGCTGTAAATCTTTATGGAAGCAGACTACTACATCCTTTCCCCCAGAGTGGCTGGTGGGTTCGAACTGCCGACCTTTTGGTTTGCAACCAAGCGCTTTAACCACTGCTTCACTTGTTTGCCACTTTAGCTGCTGTAACTTTGTAATTTACTAGATCAATACTATCAAAAATGGAAACCCCAGTGGCCTAATGGTTAAGAGTTTGGCTGCTAACCAAAAGGTCGGCAGTTGGAATCCACCAGGCACTCCTTGGAAATCCTATGGGGCAGTTCTACTCTGTCCTATAGGGTTGCTCTGAGTTGAAATAGACTGTATGGCAATGGTTTTTTTTTTTTTTTGTACAGTCAAAAATAGTGAATTTGTTCAATTGATTATATTATTGCAAATCAGTAAACAAGACCCTAACATTTAGATGACTAAAAGTTATTTTAGATACTAATGTACAGGGAAGAGATAGTGTATCCTATTAATTATCTAACCCTCAAGTTATTCTTAGTAGAAACATGAGCATTCTTATTTACTTATTAATTTGTTTTAGTTGTTATGAGCTGAGTGTCAAATACATTTAGCACTGCTCCATTAGATAACACTAATATACTGCTTCTCATTATGATGATAAATAAACCTGACCAACGAGCCCTAGTGGTGCAGTGGTTAAGAGCTCAGGCTGCTAACCAAAAGGTCAGCGGTTCAGATCCACCAGCTGCTCCTTGGAAACCCTATGGGGCAGTTCTTCTCTGTCCTAAAGGGTCCCTATGAGTCGGAATCGACTGAACGGTATCTAACAACAAACCTGACCAAAACCAAACCTGTTGTTGTCTAGTCGATTCTGCCTCATAGGGACCCTATAGGACAGAGTAGAACTGCCCCATAGGGTTTCCAAGGAGCAGCTAGTGGATTCCAAGGGCCAAAGTTTTGGTTAGCAGCTGAACTCTTAACCACTGCGCCACCAGGACTCCGTGATGATGAATGGTAGTTAGCATTTACGGTGAAACCTGTGAGAACCGGAACTCTATGGGATTGCCTTGTTTTTCTGGGTCTCGCAAGTTTTCTGCCTTCGACAGAGTGCAGACTTACCACTTTTCTATTGCTCTCTAATAGTGGAAAATATTTGCATTTTCCTTTTCTGCCAGGTTTCTGCCTTACAAAGGTTCTGGTTTTCACAGATTTTACTGTACTGAGTGGTTTACTAGGTTCCAGACACAGTGCTAAGCCCATTTTATATGTAATTTCACTTATCTTCACAGTAACCTCTGAGGTAGTTCTGACTTCAGGCCTAGAGCTTCTAAGCATTTCATTCTACCGCCTCCATAATCTACAGATGTGGTGAAAGTGCTTTTACAGTGTGTATCTCACACTAGTTGCTAGGAGTGGGAGTGGAAAGACTTAATTACGTGGACAGTTTAACTTTTGTGTGTTTTTATCTGCCCTCTTAAAAAATAAGACTTTTTAAAGTACCACTTTTATTTCTAGGGGGAGGAGACTGTCTTTGGTTTTTCCATCCCTCTGAAATCATTGAAGCTGGAGAGAAGTGCTAGGAGAAGTGTACTTGGGAGTATGAGAACGTGTTACTTTATATATGTTTTGTGTTTGTTTTTGCTGGGCATGCCGAGGTTATCAACGGCCTGTGACTTCTTGCATTACTTTCTTTGCTTAAAACCAGAAAAACCAAAACCGTTGCCATCAAGTCAATTCTGACTCATAGCGACGTTATAGGACAGAGTAGAACTGCTCCATAGGGTTTCCAAGGAGTGCCTGGTGGATTCAAACTGCTAAGCTTTTGGTTAGCAGCCAAGCTCTTAACCACTATGCCACCAGAGTTTCCTTCTTTGCTTAGGGGTCTTGAATAGTATGGATAGTATAAATATGAAACCCAAACCCAAGTGATGGCAAACCTATATTACACATTCCGAGGGGAACACATAGGCTTGCCTCCCAGGCCAGTGGTTTGAATTTTTCAGGTTTGTGCTTTCACTGAGGATATATCAGGAGGGGTCCTGGCCTCATGTGGGGTTCTTATTTCTAACACTGTGTTTTGAAGGCCCAAAGCCTTGGCTCTTACCCCCATTAAAATCAAGTCTATTAGGTTGCTGAGATGGACAGCCTCTCTCCCCAGCATCCCTCCATGACCCCCAGATTAGGGCTACTGAGCATCAACTCATGGACTGCTTAGTCTGTGGTTCTCCCTTCATTTGCAGCCCTTGGGGATTTTCCTTCTCATGAAAGCTCAGCTATGTATGTAGAAGGGTATTTATTTTATCTAGCATTTCTAGGTGTTTTATTATAGTGGAGGATTTTGCTAGACTCCAAAGACCCTTTGTACTTGCCTTACCCTTCTCTTCTGTACTACTTAGAAATGGGGTCTGAAGATTATCCATGGAGACAAATCCTATGGGCTGAATCAGTAGTCCTTTTTCCACCCCTCAAATGTCTCTATAAAGTAAAGCTGCGTGATCAAGAGTTCAAATGGGTACTTGTATGTTACTGCTTTTCTACTTATTTTGTTTTTCATTTTACCTTTGTTTATAATAGGCCAAGAACCTGCCTTGAAGACTATGTTAAATAAAATAGGAGATGAGATCATTGTAGTAAATGAACTTTTAAATAAATTGGAATTGGAAATTGAGTATCAAGAACAAACCAGCAATTCACTCAAGGTAATATATTTCTAATTAAGAAACAAAGTAAAAAGGCAATAAACACAAACTCCCTAATCACCAGGTAATTCTTAAGGATTTTTTTTATAAGTTTATAATGTTCTTAGCTTTGTAGGTAAGTATAAATGGTGTAGAGCACCACCTGTGTTTTATTTTTCCAGTATAATGGACTCATCGCTCCATAGGTATTTCTTTCTTTGTGTTGATAGCCAAAGGAATTAAATTTTACTCAAAAGGAGAATTTTCTAAATCTTGGTAGGTTTAATTTAAACATGATATGTTGGCATGAGGAGATGTGGATTCTGACCCTGACTGCCCTCAGCACTCTCTGCCACTCTGAGAAAGCTATTTTATCTCTTTGGGCCTCAGGGTCCTTATTTGAAAAATAACATCATACTGGACTATTTCTTAAGTCCCTTATATTTCTACATTTCTATAAATTTTAATACAAAGACTCAAGGAAAACATGCCTTATTGACATGCGTATTTTGTTCTAAATTAGTAGCAAGCCTTCAAATTGCCTTCAGCTAATAAAAGTGCTTGTGTCTACTTCCTGGTGGGAAAATATTGAATCTGTACCATAATTACCACATGCTGTTGTTAGAGCCAATGAAGTGTTTGATGAGACTGAACAATAAATATGGCCTCTATAGTCCCTTTCAGCCTTATAATCCTGAAAATCTGTAAAGATTTTTAAGTTATAGGAATGGATGTGATTATGCCTATCCTACTATTAGTCATCACCACCCACCTGTCAGTTTGTTGCACTGTGGTAGCCTGCATGTTGCTGTGATGCTGGAAGCTATGCCACCAGTATTTCAAATACCAGCAGGATCACCCATGGTGGACAGGTTTCAGCAGAGCTTCCAGACTAAGAGAGTAGGAAGAAAAGCCTCACGATCTACTTCTGAAAATTGACCAATGAAAACACTATGGGCATGACAGAATATTGTCCAATATAATGCTGGAAGATGAGGCCCTTAGGTTAGAAGGCAGTCAAAATACACAGTGGCCGCAACAATGGACTCCAGCATACCAACGATTGTGAAGATCGCGCAAGACCAAGCAACATTTCTTTCAGTTATACATGAGGTTGCCATGAGTTGGAGCTGACTAGATGGCAGCTAACAAGAACTGTCAGTAAAAATGGAATCAGTATCTATGAAGATCATTCAACTCTTCAAAAGAAAGATGTAATATAAATTCAAAATGGAAACAAATATTGCTATTTTTATTTATTCTAATGTGCCCCAAAATGCTCAAGGTTAAGTGTGGCCCTAGACAATGTTCAACTCCGAATTAAAGGCTATTTGAATTTTTCTTCACATTACTATGGGGAGTCAAATGACAGAAATCCAAGATACAGAATGTTTTCCTTATAAATTTATAGGCTCAAGTTCTGGTAGAAATTAATGACAAAAAAGAAGAAAAAGTTATGATCAAGTAGAAATTTTCATTAAGCTGGAATGCGTGCACGTCAGCAGTGAAAATCATTCCACCCAGTGTCTCATGCTTGTCATCTAGGTGTGCCTTATCACTCTACTGCTGTTATACAGATAACACTGGGGAATACTTGCAAAGTCAACAAAAGCAATTTACCAGAATGAAAAACATAAATCATTCATGTATTTTTTAGTTGCCTCCCAAGTTTCAATTATTTTGGAGAGATCTAAGTTTCAACCCTGCCTATTGTAATATGATTATAGCAATTATTCTCTGAAAAATTCAGTAGAGAAAAATATATCACTATCCAAAAACAGCTCTAGAAACCAAAGGAGGCCTTTTTTATGTTGCTTCATTCAGTACTTTTTCACCCCATTCTGCATTCGGTACATTCACAGTCACCATGATTGAGGTTCATAATCTTTCACGCTCTTTATAATGCTTAAAACACACACAGGGAGGACAGAGGTTTATTTGTGAGGTTTTTTTATTTTTTTTATTTTTTTATTTTAGGAACTCTGTGAATCTCTTGAAGAAGATTTTAAAGATATGCAACATCTCAAAGAAAACATTCCTCCCCATTTGCCTCAAGTAACAGTAACCAAGAGCCTGTAAGTATATTTACAATTATTCTTGCTATCTGGATTTATAAGCCCATTCAAACAAACACTTCAGAGCTTTTTGCTTTTTCGTGTGTTTGCAATTTTATCAGTGATTATTCAGTTTTTTGTCACTTACACTAGAAATAATACTTCCTCCTGTCTTTGCCAATTCTCTTAACCAGGTGTCTCTGAGGAAAATGCTGCCCGTCTTTCTTAAGGCCGAGTCTCCTCTAGGCTCTTTTCTCCCCACTCATTTCTTTCCCTTAGAGCAGAGTTTCTTAACATTGGCACTGTTGACATTTTGGGCTGGATAATTATTATTTTTTTGCATTTTTTAATTTTTGGTGAAAATATACATAATAAAACATACACCCATTCAACAGTTTTTACACATGCAATTCATTGACAATGGTTACATACTTCCCATTGTATCACCATTCTCCCTGTCTCTGCCTGTTCACTACTGTTAGCTTAGATGCTCTGTCCCTTAAAGTTTTCATCTGTGTTCATTTAATCTCATATAGATAATTCTTTGAAAGAGCACAGTTGTTTAAGATGAACATTCATTAAATGAGCTAAAGTGTTGTTTAGTTTAAAGATGACTTCGTGGGATGGTTTCTGTTCAAGGCTTGAAAGTTGTTTCCCAGCAATAGATTTGAGGGTTCCTCCAGTCTCAATGTATCCAGTAAGTCTGGTTTCTAATAAAAATTTGAAGCTCCGTTCCACATTTTTTTCCTCCTTTTGGTCAACGTCCCACTATTGAATCCTTGATCAAAATGTTCAGTAATGGTAGCCGGGTGTCATCCATTTCTTCTGGTCTCATGGTAAAGGAAGTAGTAGTTCATAAAGGTTATTAAACCTGCAGTCCATTGCCTTCTCTAATTCCTGGGGTTCCTTCTTCCTCTGTTGCTCCAGATGAATAGAGACCAATTGTTGTATCAGGTGGTGGGCTGGATAATTCTTTGTTGCAGCAGCTGTCCTGTGCGTTATAGATCTTTAGCAGCATCCCTGGCTCCTACCCACTAGATGCCAGTAGTGCTCCCCTCCAGTTGTGATAATGAAAAATGTCTCCAAACATTGTAAATGTCCTCGGGGGACAAAATCCTCCCTCCTCCCTCTAGAGCCTCTCCCAGTGCCTTAGGGTAAAAATAAGCTTTCCCATCTTAAAAACAGCCAAAGGAACAAAAAACTTAGCCTGTTTTCCCCCCTCAAACTACCATCTATCTCTGTTTGTTCACTGACAGTGTATGTTTGCTACCTTGCCTTTCTCCCAGCGCCCCTAAAGCCTGGCTTTTGGCTCTCATTACCATCGCTCTTATGAAACTGATTGCTTGAGAGTCACAAAGAGGTCAAAAGATCCCTCTTCAGCCCTGGCTCTACTTTTCAGATTTTATTTTGCTGACCACCTTGTTTGAAATTCTGGTTTCTGCACTACCACTGTCCATTCTTAGCTTTATCCTGCATTTCTGACCTGGCCACCTCCTTTTCCTCTGCCTTCCCTTAAATTATCGATATCTCCTAAGGCTGTATTTAACTTAACACTACTGCTGATGCTCTCAAGTGACCACCTCCAGCCTTGACAGGCATCTAATTTCTGCTGTCCTAATTGCCTCCTGGGAATCTCATGAATGAGCTGTTTTCTCCTCAGACTTGGCATGTTTAAGACTGAACTCCCTGGCTCTCTTGTTAGCCACTCATCCAAACCTGCTGCTCCCATCTCCATCAGCTAGGTGGCAACTCAACATCTTCAACCTGTCTCGCCCTCTCTTAGCCACCAGCCGTCCATTCTGCCTCTGGGGAGTTTTGTCTGTTCATGCCCTCCCTTCTGTTCTCACTGCCTGGCTCTGAGTGGGATCTTCCATCATCTTTGTCTATGATTTGATGATGGCCTATGTTCTTACTTTCTAGTATTCTCCTCTCATCTCTCCAGTCCTCTGCTACCAAAAATTACATCTAATAGCATATAAAAACAATCCATGGCTGATTTAATTTTTTTAAAAATTTGAAATATGTGGTACATATAGAAAACTGATTCAAGCTGTATTTGTACAAATTAAAGAAGAATAATAAACACCCATGTACCTGCCACCCAAGTTAAGAAATAGGACATTATCAGTATATTAAAACACCTTTTCTGATGCAGACCCTCCCTCTATCAAACAGATAATCACTATCCTGGCATTTATGATAATCATGCCTTTGTGTTGCATTAGGAATCCCTGAGTTTTGCAAACGATTAAGCACTTGTAAAAGGGTGAGAGTAGTAATAGTATCAGTAGTAGGTCAGAACCTAACTTCAGTGGGGATAATGGCCAGGATCAGCCCAAAGCTGATTCTCATGAGGTGGAGATCAGACATATCTCCACTCTCCAACCTTTTTACCAATTCTGGCACTAGCTGTCCCTCCCATGGCACTCTCTACTTCTCTTCTGGGTTCTATAATCCATTGCAGTAGCAACACAGAACTCATAGACCATACTTACAGTTAAGTGGTTTATTAAGGAACAGGGTATAACTTGGGATCAGGATCAACAGGCTACAACTCAGGATCAGGAGCATGTAGGCAAAGTCCGTTCTTCACTGCAGGACAGCTCTCTCAGCTCCTTTCAACTGTGCAGGCCTCCTCTCAGCCCCCTCAGGACAGGCTCCTCTAGGCCCTGCTATCTGTCACTGCCGGCTGTGCTGCTGTGCCCCTTTCAGGCCTCTTGCTGTCTTCAGTGTTACAGCCCTTGACCAATGTTACAGCTCTTTTAGGAGGTTCCTTGCCTCCTCACTGTTTCTTTGTGCTTTCTTCCTTCTACTTCTGCCTGCTGCTTCTCTTTTTGTTTCTTTCTGTCTGCAAACCTATGTGGTGCTGGCTGCTTAGATATACAAACTCCTTGTTAATTTCAAGGCACGATACTCCCACCGGGACCACAACTGACCAATCCCCTCTCAGTAGGCCACAGACACTTCATTTGCATAGTAGGAGTGACTGGGCTACAATTTACCTCATTTGCATAGTCTATTGCTGAATCCCTGCAAGGTGCATACCGATCAAAGGGCAGGCTGCAGCCCAGGACCAGACAAAAGGTATCAAAACCAAGTTGTTTATAGTTTACCCAGGAATTATCAATCAACCTGGACAAAAATAACAAACCCTCTAGGGTAGAAACTCCTCAACATTAGTAACTCCTCAGGGCTTGGGGGAAGAGTCTCTCAAGCTGTTTTCCAAAGAATCAAGGCAAAAGGCCACATAAAGGAACTCATTTCACCACAGCACTTGACTACTAGCCACAAGGTTGGCAGTTCAAACCCACCCAGAGGCACCTCAGAAGACAGGCCTGCTTCCAAAAGGCCACAACCTTGACAATTGAGAACCCCATGGAGCAGTTCTACTCTGCACACATGGGGTCACCATGAGTTGGAATCGACTTGACAGCAACAGCTTTACTTTTGGTTTGGTGTTTTCATAAACAATATACTGTTTCAATCTGAAAAAATGAAAGGCAGGCACAAACCTTTTTGTATAGGAAAAGAGCCATATTATTAATAATGGGTGAGGGTCCCTAGGAGAAGATAGCTCAACAGAGTCCCTGGGCATGGTCTGGCTTCTTCATACTTTGGAATTTCCCTGCAAGAATAGAAATTATTTATGAGTGAATACTAGGAAACAGAGGTCATCATAGGATATCTTCCAGGACTATAGTGTGGGCTAGACATTGGACATCCAGCAGGAATGTGGCCAGGGGAATAGGAGGAATTTTCTTCTAAGCTCACTATGGCCTAGCTATCAGGTTGAAAGGATTGTTTTCAGCTAATACACATAACAGGGTCTGAAGGGGAAGTCAAGAGCTTTCTTAGCACATCATCAAGACAAGCAAGTATAGGCAGGAGTCAGCCGGGCTCACCATAGAGTCTGTCTTCCTATTAGGATTCATGTTAGGATGATGACATTATAGTACTGGACATATTTATCATGACAACCCTCTCCTGAGTCCCACTGCCCCAGTCAGGCCTGCTTGTTCTCTGTCTGGTGCGTAGCTCTCATCCTGGTATCTCACTTCTCTGCCTTTCTGGGGAATTCCCTTCATTTGCCCCTGTATTGAATCTACTCTTTCCTGTGGGCTGTGTCTTCTTTCTTGGAACCATATACCAGTATGGCTTGACTTGCTGCTGACAACAAGCTCTGTTCCTCCCTGGCAGTTAAGCAGCCTGGAAGCTACAGTTATGTCTAGACTCCAGTTGCCAGTGGGGCAGGTGCTATTAGTAGGGTTCTCACTGGCTTCAAAAGTTTTGCATGACTGAATCCAAGGGTGATGCATGCTTATTGCTGGCAACTAAAATGAGTCTGCATCAGGCAGGGACTGGCACCACCAACCAACAGGCTAAGTCGGAAGAAGTAGAAACTTAAGATGATTGATTTTTTTCATGTCCAGAAATAGGAAAGTCAGCAACGGAAGCTGTTTAGATAACCTGGAGTTTAGATAAGTTTAATTCTACACACTGACTTTGTGGAGCCAGTGGGACAATTGATGAAGATGTTTAGCATATGTACCACATAAACCATTTTGGGGGCATGTAAATAAATATAGCTATATTATGAAAGATTTGGAGACTTAATTTTTCAACATTCTCTTCACTATTTAGATCTTCATGAACAGTAGGGATGAAAAAATGTTGGCTACAAAATTGTTATAACAGGATGAACCATGTGTTTGATACAGATTATTTTCAGTTGGGAAAACTTTTCAGTTTGTGTCTTAATTCTGACAATTGTACATGTGTGCATCTCTGTTCTGTAGTGCTAAGGAATCAGATCTTAGCTCTGAAGAACCAGTCAAAGTTGTGGAATCTGTACCCATAAATAAGCCCCCAAAAGGACAAAGAAATATTAAGGAAATGCCATTTATAACTTCTGATGAGTTCAACGGTATTCCTGCGTAAGTATTTACGACAAATTTTAAGATTTAACTATGTCTTTAATAATCAGTGTACATGATTGTTTAAATCATGAAGTTTGGTTATATTGACTATAATTCTGATGTGTTCAAATCTTGGTCTGTTCTAAAATAGTTTTACATTGTAATGTGAAAATGAGGGAAATCTTTTCTAGAAGATGCTTTAAATCATGTCTGTAATTATAAAAACTGCTTTTCTTGGAGGGAAACCCTGGTGGCATAGTGGTTAAGAGCTACAACTGCTAACCAAAAGGTTGGCAGTTCAAATCCACCAGGCACTTCTTGGAAATTCTGTGGGGCCATTCTACTCTGTCCTATAGGGTCACTATGAGTTGGAATCGACTTGATGGCAATGGGTTTTTCTCTTCTTAGATCTGGTGATGTAGTAGTTCATTGCTTAGGTCCTTTCCAGGACCCTTTTGTGATACAGATTTATCGAATTACGTTTTAGAAGTAGACTCCATTTTGCAGTAATTTTAGGAATTGAGTGTGTTGTACAGATTTGAGAATTAGAATGTAGAATGCTGTGTATGTTTGGTTTCCATTTTTCCTTTAACTTTGTACCACACACTTGTTTGAGTCTGTATTCTATTCCAGGCCCTGGGTCACTGAGGAGAATACAGGGATGAATAAGACAATCTGTTTGTCTCAGAGGAGGTCTCCTTGGCTTTTGCCAAAAACCAGTTTTCACAGACGACACTAATAGGACCCAATTATGCAAATCCATGTTTTTAAGTTCTCATAAATCCAGGGCTTTGCTTTTTTATTGCTTTTTAAAACTTACTTCTTTATTTAATTTACTTATTACATTTCTTGTTACTTTTTAATTATACAACTAATGCATGTTGTTAGAAAATAGATGTTTGTTGTCAGAAAATAAAACTCATCTGTAATTTTACCACTCAGATAAGGTAGGGTATTTATTTCCAGATGTTATTTAATTATACATTTATAACAGGTATTTCTGATTATGTAATATTACAATATTGTAGTTATACTGTAAATACAATTTACTTACTTTTTTATCATGAACATTTTTCCATCATTAAGTATCATTTTGGATTTTAGTAGTTGTATAATAATTCATGAGGCTATAATATAACTTATTTGAGCATTCTTTTATTAAGTATTTGGATTGACTTCATTGTTATAAATAATGGTGAAGTGAAATTTTGTTTTGCAATTTCTTATTTCCTTGGGATACAGTACTAGACCTGTGGCAAAGGGCATGATTATTTTATTTTCCAAAAGAGTTGTCCATACCAATTTTGTGGTTTGTTTGTTTTGTTTTAATTAATAGACTTTATCACTGAATAAAAATATTCCATTGAATGGATGTACCAGAGTTTTGTTTATCCATTCATCTATTGAAGGCTATCTTGGTTGCTTCCAGTTTGGGGGCAGTTACTGTGTTTTTATGCAAATAATGCGGCCTTCTATGTTTGTTTGCCAACTCTGCCCTCCCCTGTGAGGTATTTTTGTAAGTGTGCTATGCTAAATTTTTTTACAGCAATATGTAAAAAGAAAACTGGCATAACACTGCTTATGAAAATACTTCGCAGGCAGAGGGCACGGTGACAAACAAACCTAGAAGGTGTGCATTATTTGTGAAAAAATACGGTATGCATAAAACTGCTATAAATATTTGTGTGCAGGTTTTTGTGTGGATATAGTTTCAACTCATTTGGGTAAATACCTAGGTGTGTGACTGCTGGATCATATGGTAAGACTATTTTAGCTTTGTAAGAAACTGCCAAACTGTCTTCTACAGTGGCTGCACCATTTTGCATTCCCACCAGCAATGAATGCAAATTCCTGTTGCTTCACATCCTTGTCAGCTTTTGGTATCATCAGCTTTTCGAGTTTTAGCCACTCTGATAAGTGTATAGTGGTATTTTATTGTTGTTTTAATTTGCAATTCCCTGTTGACATCCCAAAAGATGATGTTGAGAATATTTTCATATGCTTATTTGCCATCTTTGTATCTTCTTTGATGAGGTTTCTATTTACATCTTTTGCCCATTTTTTAATTGGGTTGTTTGTTTTCTTATTGTCAAGTTTTAATAATTCTTTGTATACCATATTTTTTTGCAAATAATGCTATGCTAATTTTTTTACAGCAACATGTAAAAAATTGGCATAGTGGCACTTACAAAAATACCTCGGGAGGGGAGGGAGTGGTTGGCAAACAAACGGTAGAAGGCACACGTTAACTGGGTAAAAATATGGTATTTTCAATACTAATTCTTTATCAGATATGTGTTTTGCAGGTATTTTCTCCCAGTCTGTGGCTTGTCGTTTCATTCTCTTCATAGTGTCTTTTGCAGAAGTTTTTAATTTTAATAAAGTTCAACTTTATTAAAATTTTTCTTTTATGGGTCATGCTTTTGGTGTTGCATCAAAAAATTCATGAGCAAACTCAAGATCACCTAGATTTTTCTCCTATTTTGTCTTCTAGAATTTATATACTTTGCATTTTATATTTAGGTTTATGATCCATTTTGAGGTAATTCTTATAAAAGGTGTAAGCTCTGTGTCTAGAATCTTTTTTGTGTGTGAACGTCCAGTTATTCCAGCACCATTTGTTGAAAAGACTAGGCTTTCTCCATTAAATTGCCTTTGTTCCTTTGTCAAAGATCAGTTGACTATATTTGTGTGGGTCTATTTCTCGGCTCTATTCTGTTCCGTTGATCTATTAGACTCTTTAGCCAATACCATGCTGTCTTTATTGCTGTAGCTTTGTAGTAAGTCTTGATGTCAGGTAGTGTCAGTCTTCTGATTTAGTTCCTCTTCAGTATTGTGTTGACTATTGTGGGTCTTTGCCTTTCCATATAAACTTTAGAATCCGTTTGTCGATATCTACAAAACAACTTACTAGGATTTCGATTGGGATTTTGTCGAATTTATACATCATGTTAAGAAGAATTGACATCTTAACAATATTGAGTCTTTCAGGAATATGAATATTCATTTATTTAGATCTTTTATTTCTTTAATTAGAGTTTTGTAGTTTACTTCATGTAGATCTTGTACATATTTTGTTAGATTTATACCTATTTCTTTTTTTTTTGGTGCTAATATAAATGGTGTGCTTTTAATTTAAAATTTTAATTGTCCATTGCTGGTATATAGGAAAGCAACTGACTTTTGTATATTAATCTTATATCCTGCAACCTTGCTATAATTGCTTGTTAGTTTTAGGATTTTTTGGGGTCAATATTTAGGGATTTTCTACATAGCCAATCATATCATCTGTAAACAAAGACAGTTTTATTTCTCCCTTCCCAATCTGCGTACCTTTTATTTCCTTTGCTTGTCTTATTGCATTAGCTAGGACTTCCAGTACGATGTTGAATAGGAGTGATGAGAGGGGACATCCTTGCCTTGTTCCTGATCTTAGGGGGAAAGTGTCTAGCGTCTCATTATTA